ATCGAGCGGCTAGCTGCCGTGTCTCGAATGTCAAGAACGCGGCGCCTGGTCCCGTGACCGTGCGTGCCACTTGACAGAGCGTCTTTCTTTGCCGTCGTCGATCGTCTTTCGGCCGGTGGTGTTCGTCAGCCCCCAGCAAAGAAGAAGGATGAAGGAAGAGAAGGGGCGTGTCCGGTCGCGCGGCTTCTACAAAGGGATGCCCACTTCCCTGTGGGCCCCTTCCACTCATCCAGGGATCCCTTCCACGTGGGTCCCCGGAGTCTTTCCATCCCCACCATCGGGCCCTAAGAAAACTGGGCAGCATGGTCCAGACCACGAGATCTGCTGGCCAGGTGAAGTCAGTTTACGCATCGCTTCTGCACGCGAAGCACATACACGCACTGGATCCTCGAGAGGATCGCGATCGAGTCTTCTCTCGATTCACATCTCGAGATCTCAGTTTCTCACGGGGCACAAACATGACGCATCGCGGCAAGATCGACGAGCAAAGCGTCGTTTGAATCATCCCGAGGCGAGGCATTTGAATGGTCACTTTCTTGGCCAAAAGTAGTCTCTCGTCTGTCAACTGCGTTCGTTCGATCTGGCCCTGGTTATTCGTCGTTAGTCGCGAGAAGGGATGACGATCGATTGAAGGGGACCGGTGTACTAGAAGTTTTAGATATCACGTGGCACGTGGTCGTTGAAAGTTGAAATACATACAGGTTTGTCGAAGCAAATCATAGAGAGAGAGAAAGAGAGAGACTCTCGGTTCCGCGAGAATGACCACATACGCAAGTTTCCAGCAATACGATCTTCTGGACTCGGAGGGTTACGGATCGGCGAGTAGCCCGGAGTCGAATCCGCGAAGTTGGACCCACCAAGAAATCTACCCTCAACCACCGAGATCCAGGGGTAGCAGCTGCGGCAGCGTGAGCTCGTTGGACTGTCAAAATCGCGAGTACCAAGAGATCGGTGTGGCGAACGGTGGCTTCCACGTGACTACGGCGACTGGCTTCAACTTCACCGAGTTCTACGAGGGCTACTACCAACAGGGTTGCCGGAACGAGCAACACGAGATGGGCCACTCGAACAGCGTGAGGATGACGAAGGAGCCGGCGAGGCCCCACTCGTTCAGGATGAATCCCGAGTGCGCGGAGAACGTTTACGACGGCGAGAACGCGGCGACGACGAAACAAAATCCGGACGTCGTCGGCCCGCCAACGAAAATGGAGCAGCAACATGAGGCGAGCAACGTGTTCGGCGGCGGCAGGTGCGAGTTCGGCCAGAGTCTTCAGGAGAGTTTCTTCGCGGCGAAGAGTTATGGTATCCCGAAAGGCGATGGTTTTTTGCCTAGGAATAACGGCAATCTGCCGCCTTACGGGCAAAGGGGCGACATCCTTTATTTGGGCGCCGCGTACACCGCGCCGAGAAACGAGAGCTACGCGGCGGCGGCGGCGGCGGCAGCGGCAACAGGCCAGCACGGCGGCAAGTGCGAGCCATCCAGGTATCACCAGAAAAACGTGGACGCGGTGCACGTCCCGACGTCGATCGAGTACCCGGGCCAAAAGACAAAGGAGGGCATGCAGAAGATGAAGAACGGCACGCCGGGCATCGAGGTGTTGAGAAAGAGACGGCTGGCGGCGAACGCGCGCGAGAGACGAAGGATGAACAGCCTGAACGACGCGTTCGACAGGCTGCGCGACGTTGTCCCCAGCCTCGGCAACGACAGGAAACTAAGTAAATTCGAGACCCTTCAAATGGCGCAGACCTACATTGCCGCGCTGTACGAGCTGTTGCAGAGGGAGTGACGCGTCCGAAGGGCAACAAGATCGGACCTAAAAATTGGAAATTCTCTCGTCATCGCAATTTCGTGTCGCGAACAGACATAAAATCAGAGCCCGGTCTCTCGGACTCTGCCGTGAAATCCTGCGTCACCAGTGCCGAGGACCAAGTGATGCGGGACCAAACGTTTTTTCCGTATCGTATCAGGCGAGGACAAGTGGGATGCCGGCTCTTATCGAAGCTTCGTTGCGCGATCGGCGATGTTAATCGGCAGATGAAGGTAAAATGCTACGAGACAGCGGGAGATCGAATGACCAAAAGACTCGATTAAATGAAATTAAGTTCGTCAAACTTGGCGCAATACTCTCGCACGTGGAATGCTGCATTCCTCGATAGCAAGTATTTCAGTTTCGATACACACACCGAAAGGTGGATAGTTTAATTAGCAGTAATTTAATTGCAGCGCGCAAACGCGACACACCCGTTTCCTATCAGCTATAATGCTTTTCCCTCGTGCGGCCTTGTTCCCGGATTCCGCGATATTTTTCCTTCCGATCGCGACCGATCGCGATACGTGCGAAACGTAAACGACGAGTTTGACGAACGTTTTCTAGGCTTAGGATCCAGAGGATGAGAGTTCAAGGATAGCAAATGACATATTGAAGTGTCTTTTTAAGACGGATCGCTCGCTTTGAATAGGGTTTAAGATCGATTCATGTTATCGTTAACGTTCGGACACACGTTGCTGTTTATTCGTGTGAAAATTAGTATACTTTTCGTCTGATGATGATTCAACGTGTTCGTTTAACAAAACAAAGATAAATACGCGGCATTGGAGAAAGATACACGTATGTTAAACAAATTAAATTAAATGAAAATAAAAATATAAATTGAATAATTGAAAAATGAATGCTATTCTCGACTGGACAGAAACCAATTGATTATCGTGTTCGAACGTGTGACATTTATGAATCAATCTTTAGACGAACAACTGATTACGAGCTTCGCCTCGAGTTTCATTGTAAATAGGCTATCATATAGCGTGTTCTAGCTCCGTAGGTTTTGTGTAAATATCGAATTAGATGCGACTAAGTTATTACGACGTTGTGTAAGTAATCATGTGCATATATATAAATAATCGGTCCATGAGACTACGGAAACAGAACGTCGGGTGATTGACGACGGTAGCTCATTGTGAAAGCCAATCGCCAATTGATCACAACTGTAACACGTTCTGAAATTATGAGATTCTTCTTGTCCTACAGTGACGGTCAAAAGAAAGAAAGTTTAGAAAATACTTGAACGCGCAAGCTTGCAAGTCCTTCGACGTTGCATCGTAATTCTAAAATTCTAAATTATAAAAAGGGATTATATCTCTAGAAAAGAAGTATTGCGCGTTCAAGGATCAAAGAACTGAAATCTGATGACAGAAAGACAAAAAGCCGTGATTTTTACGAACTTGGGCTTGAATTATAATTCAACGAAAATTCTACCAATTAATTGCAGACTTTCTTTTGTCCGAGCGTTGTACGATGGCTTCGAGTGTCGAATTAAACGACTCGGCAAATGATTCATAAGAAGGAAATCGGCGCGAGAAAGAAGATCAAATATCTCGTCGATTACAAGGGACAACGAACTTTTTATACAGTCGATTAAAACTTATAAAAACCAAAGAATCCCAGTTAGCGTTAAGGAAACGACACTGCGTGATGTGACGACCATGTTCACTGTTCTCCCGGCTGCGAATAGATTATAAACTATATAAAATATGTCAGACACACGAAATCGGAACGAGACATTTTCTGTATTAAAGGAATAGGATAGAAGACCAATTCTATTTCATTTCATCGTGATTAAACTTACGTAGCAAATTCAATCTTGCCTTGTTATTGGCTCTTAATTATAAAACTCCCGTTCTCATTACTACCTGCTACAATTTCATCGTTACTAGACTATTATTACTATAATTTCATTTAAAATTATTTACAATTATTACTACAATTTATATTTACCAGATTTTTGGGCAACATAGTATGATAGAGAAGTTTTTGTTCAAAATTTTGTTGACAATTACGACGAGCATTCTGTTTTGGATGTTTTAAAATTTTACACGAGTAGTATGGGAATTAACAATTAACAGTCTCTATTTTTCAAGTTAGACAGACATAAGTATGAGAAGTTAATTCTATCTTAAAAATTTGCACCATAAATATTACGAAAATTCAATTTTGATTTTGCACTTTTATATTCTCTCTAATAGAGATCTCGGTAAAATGAAATCAAACAGTCTATAATCGAAATTTTCATGGCCAACGAAACGACAATTCGGTCAAGGGTCAATAACAAGAATACGAGCATCCATGATTAAGGATTAACAGCGAGTATAGCGATACCTCTTGTTCAAGAACTTTTCCAAGAAAAAAAAAAAAAAAAAAAAA